GAAACGTGATGTTAAGGATGTCAGTTTTGCCCAACGCAACTTCCCCAGTGAGAAAGACGAAGAAGCCACCTTGAACAGTGTACTGGTAGATTTTGGTGATAAAGGTGAAAGCCGAGCAGCACTACAAGTCGACAAAAATGGAGAGGTAGAGAAGGCTGAAAAGGCAGGGGAGAAGGAAGAGCGCCGAAGGGGCAAAGTGCGAGACCTTGAACGCAGCAGAGGGCGGCAAATGTTAGCGTTATCGCTTAAAAGGAAGAGGCCGGAAATTTCAACTAAACTGGACGAACAGCCCCGCGTTTTCAGCAAATCGGCCAGAGTTGGAATGTCCACACGGCCTTCAATTACGAGCCCTGATCAGAAAAACCTGCCGGTGGTGCGAGAAATCTGCTCGTCGCTCCTGATTAAAACTTCCGATGAACCGATAGGCTCCGGGACATTTGGAACTGTCTATTTGGCAGAATACAAAGGCATGAAAACGGCAGTCAAGGAGATCAAGAAAAGAAAGGACTCGCCCGAAGAAACTGAACGGTGTAGACGCGAGGTTCTGCACGAGGCTCAAATTCTTCAAAGTCTCGGCGACCACCCAAATCTCCCATTTCTTTTCGACGTCAGTACAAAAATGGAGCCATTCTACCTCGTTCTTCAATTTCATGGCAATGGCGGAAAAAGTACCACCCTCCATGAGGCTTTGAAGAAAAGGCTACTAAAAAAAAATTCAACAGCCCGTGTTTTTTATGAAATTGCGGAAACGCTCAAATATATGCACAACAAGAGTTTCTTGCACAACGATTTGAAGACAAACAATGTGCTGATGCATCAGGGAAACTCGGGGGAACTTCATCCAATCTTAATCGATTTTGGCAAAAGTCGAGCCATAGCCAAAGCAAAGGGATATCGGAGAAGTGATTTCGATTACCTTGCGCCGGAAGTGAAAGCGGGTAAAAAGGAAAGTACGCGAAGTGACATTTTTTCTTTCGGCAAAATGCTTGAAGCAGCCGTTCGCGGGAGAAGTTTTCTTCCGACGTTTTCGGAACTAATTACTAGCACTACTGCAGTGGATGCCTCAAAAAGGCCATCGATTAGTGAGGTTGCTAACGAACTGACTAAGT